TAGGCACCCTCCTGTCTCTACTTCCCTGAGATTACAGGAGACTGCTTGTCTTTAAGCAGATATGATTTTAAAACAATGTAAGGCTTTCAGATACTTCTCTCTCTGGTCTTTACAATACGTGATCCCATTCTCTACTGTAAAATAAACTTGCTTCACTTTATTTACTTACCACCTCCCACGTTGTAGCACAGGGATGGAGTGCTTGCCATTTTTAAACAGATCCCAGATTTTCACTGGGTATGGTGGTCCTGCTAGTTCAAGGCTAGTTTGGGCTACATAGGGGGGTGTTGTCTTAGAACTGGATGTAGCTTAGTGGTAGAGGGTTTGTTTAGCATGCACGAACACCTGGGTTTGATCTCAGTACTGCAAAAATAACAAGGAAAAGTGAAACTGGATCTTCACTGTTACAGATAGCCATATGTAGGTGCCATCATGGTTTTTTTTGTTTTTTTTTTTTTTTTTTTTTTTTGAGACAGGGTTTCATTGTGTAGAACAAGCTGTCCTCAAACTCAGATCTGCCTGCCTCTGCCTCTTGAGAGTGGGATTAAAAGTGTTCGGCACCAGCATGGCTGACGATTTTACCTTTTCATGTTATGTAAATCCTTTAAACAAAACACCAGAGAAAGCTGAAGATTTGGTGCTGGAAGGACAGGTTAGTAGTGAAGAACAAGGCTGTTCTTGCAGAGGTTTGCTTCCCAGTACTTACATGGCGGCTAATGATTCCCTGTAACTCCAGTTACAGAGGATTTGACACCCTCTTCTGGCCTACAGAGGTACCAGGGATGGACGAGTGCACACATGCACACATGCCTGCACACAGTCAATGCACTCATATACCTTAAGAAAGACTCTCAGAGTTGATTTCCTGTGGATGCTGGGAACCTGTAGGAAGTGCCGAGTGGGCAGACAGATGAAAGAAGGTGAATGAGCTAGAGTAAGAAGTTCTGGGTCTGCGGGGCGGTGCCTCAACCCCTTACCCCCCCAAAAAAGAATTTCTGGGTCCATGAGGAGTGGCCCTGTGGGTAGGGATGTGTGCAGGTCGTCCTGTGATCCAAAACTGAGGTGCTGTGGAGGTGAGTTGTGTCCTATTAGAAGAATTTGTAGGTGCGTAGCTGCAGCTTGACGTCTTTCTGAGATGTAGTCACCGTTTCCTGTGCGCGGCCCCCCCCCCCCCAGGGCGTCTCTGTGTATCCTTGGCTGTCCTGGAACTCGTTCTGTAGACCAGGCTGGGCTTGAACTCAGAGATCCACCTGCCTCTGCCTCTTGAGTGCTGGGATTAAAGGTGTGCACCACCACTGTCCAGCCTTCTTCCTTCTTTGAGACCCTAGCTTCGCACCAGAATGCTTGCATAGTGCACCCATGGCCAGTACCACCTCCTTGTGGCACTTTGCTTAGGTGGTGTGAGACTGTGTGACTGTGCATGTGTGTGTATGCTCTCAACTAAGTTGGCATCTTGTATGTTGTGGGGGACCAAAGTATTTCTGCTATGGAATATTTTGAGATTCAGCCTTGGGTCTCATTAAACATGGAGCACAGAAAGCTCAGGCCCACTATTGTATTGTTAATGCCAGTAAGGCTACTACTGTTTACCATGGCCTCAGGATAATATGCCTCTTATTTGCATCTGTATTTGCCTAAGCATCTGAATAGGCCCTCACCTGGGCAGAGGTGCTAGAAGTGTGTGAATAACTTGGGAGGAGAGAAGGTTAGGGAGGAAGAGAGGACTAGTGGCCAGAGCAGAGAGGGAACAAAGAGGGAAATGGTTTGACTCAGTGGTGTTGGCAGGATGGTTAAGAAACACCAGAAAAGATGGCTAATAAAGAATGACTCTAGTTCCACAACATGGAACTGAGAGCTCTCTAAAGATGACAAGATGCCTGTGTTTGATCTTTATCGCCGTTGGGTTGCTGGGAGCTTCCAGGTCCACACACCCACTCTCAGGCCAAACCTCATGGCTGTCGTGGGTTAAAGCTGAGACAAGCCGGGTCACGACAGTATGAACCCTGATTCTTTCTGTGGCTTGTGCGCCCCCCATGCACTTCATAGGCTCCCATGCACTTCTTGAGCCATTGGAGGTTCAATGTAATGGTTTGTGATTATAAATAAGGCACGGACCAAGATTGCTCCTTATTTTGGGGTTGCAGCAAAGGGTTGGGTTACCTGGAATTGGGCCTTGTTTGAGGTAACCATGTAAACAGTGTAAAACATGGGCTATTGGAGTGGAAGGGAAACCATCTGTTATGAATTCTATATATAAATATTGGATATACTTACAGGGGTTAAAATGGGATTGTTGGCATTGGGGTTTTCAGTCCCAATTCTGCTGTGGCAGGGATGATAAAGTGACCACAGGGCCTGCTGCCCAAGGCAGGAGGGGTCCTGAGCTGGTGTTTTTCTCTGATTTTCTGGGGTCCTGGGAGCAATAGATAAGTATCTGTCAGAGATCATTCTGAGCTATTGGCTCTCCTCCCTGGTTATGGGTGCTGAAAATCTCTGGGGCTATGGGATGTCTATTTTCTTGCTTTGAAGGGATATATACAAGATTAAACTGATGAGGACATCAGGGTAGAGACCAAAGGGAGCCTGTCATATGTCATAGGGAATTTGGCCTGTTCAGCTGTCAGCTGTGTCTTTTCAAAACATTAACCCTTTGTCATTCTTTTGAGAAAGGATAGCCTTGAACTTGGTACATACCTAAGAATAACCTTGAACTTCTGAGTCTTCTGCTTATGTCCTGGGCTTGTGCCACTATGCCAGGTCAAAACATTAGTGTTTTGTTTTGTTTGTTTGGGTGTGTGTGTGTGTGTGTGTGTACTGAGGCTTAGCAGGGTGGTAAAAAAAAAGTCTTGCTCCAATCTCCCAGATGGGATCCAGGCTAGTGTTAAGCTCAGGACCATAGACTGGGGAGACAGAGTCAGAGACAGAGAGAGAGAGAGACAGAGAGAGAGAATGCACTCATGCACATACATGTGCAGTTATATGTGCGTGTGGAGAGCAGTGCTCTGTGATTGAACATCTTTCCTCAAGTCATCCATTTTGTTTTTAAGTTATGTGTATATGTGTCTGTCTATGTGTGGGTGTGTGCATATCGATGAAGGTGCTTACAGGGACCAGAGGTGTTGGGTACCCTGGAGCTGGAGCTACAGAACATTGGGAGCCACTATGTGAATGCTAGGAACTTAACCTGGGTCCTCTGTAGGAGTAGCATGTGCACCTAACTGCTAAGCCATTTATTTTGTGCTCCTTAATGCAATAGGTACTATGGTATTGTCCAAATGGCTTATCCCACTTTGTCTCTTAGAGGATGCTCCATGAGCTTCTGGTGATCTCTCAAGGGTTCCATATGTGGTGCAAGCTGGGTCACAGGGCTCGACTTCTAGCATGCAAAACTTCTGAGGCTAGAGACTTAGAAATGCAGCCTCTGGGGGGTGCGTGCGTGCATGCATGCGTGCGTGTGCGTGTGCGTGTGCGTGTGTGTTCAGAGACTCAGAAGTGCAGCTTCTGGTGCGTGCGTGCATGTGTGTTCCATCCTTGCTTTGCTGCCCACTGTCCCCTTCAATCTCAAACTTTCTTGGGAGTTCATTTCATCACCTTTCAGTGCGAAAGCCAGAGACTGACAGGGTCATCATGCTAGGTGTGACTTGAGAGAAGACGATGCTTCTTCATGAAGGCTGCAGCTATGGGCCAGAAGAATGTACAGCTAGGGCCCCTAATCTGTCAGGGGCTGTGCATTTAGAGTTGTTGGGCACAAGGGGAAAGTCACCTGGTAGAGAAGGATCCATAGGACCAGCATCCGCTGCATTATTGCCTCATGCATTTCTACCCCAGGAACATTGCATAGGTTTTAATCTCTCTCCTCTGACCACCTTACATAGTACGTAGCCTTCTCCTGTACTGTTCCCTACTCCCACCCTGCCCCCTGACTGTTTGCCCATTCACAGCATTGACCTGACATTACTGCAAGCTCTTGGTTACATTTTTGCTCAGTATCTGTTTCCCTGCTGGAACAGGAGACCCCAGAGGGCCCTGGCATGAAAAGTCCCTGCTGCCCGAACTTCCTAGGAAGGTGCCCTGGTTCTGCCCCTGTGTCTCTTTCTCCTTCACTCTTCATCTCTCCAGAACTTTATCTTCTTTCTCCTCTGTGCTTTCCTTTGCTGCCTCTGCCTGAGGAGAGGAAGGGTGTGGTAGAGAGCCATGGGGTAATACAGAGCCCACATCCGTCCAGGCTTCTCCAGGTGGGGGAGGGGAGGAGAAGCTGCCTATTCCCAGGTGAATGTGAGGAGCTACCCACACTGTGGCCTGCCTCACTGTGGGCCCTTGGGGCTGCTGCCAGGTCTCCTCCAGGGAAAACTAGCTTCCCAGGAGTGTGTTGTGGGTTCCTAAAGCTTAGGAATTAAGTGTGTGGTTTCCTTAGTGGTTCAGAATCGGGAACCCTGGCTTTTGGGATTCTGGCTCCCAGTGAGGGTTGGAGAAAAAAAGATCCTAGAAGGTTACAAAGTACCCACCCCCAGCCTTTGAAGCTGTTCAGGTGGGGAAGTGATCTTTCCAGTTTGGGGAGAGCAGCAGAGCCAGAGTTTTGGGGGTTTGGGGAGTCTTCCTGCCTCTCTCCCTGCACAGGCCTATCCCCAAGGGAGACTCTGAACCACTGGAAGGAAGGGGTCTTGGGTCAGAGGTGGCCATGTCTCAGTTCCCTCTCCTGTCCAGCTGGCTGTCCTGACACTTTGCTCTGCCCACAGCTTCCCCGCTCCTGTTGTTCGCCAACCGCCGGGATGTGCGGCTAGTTGATGCAGGCGGGGTGAAGCTGGAGTCCACCATTGTAGCCAGTGGCCTGGAGGATGCAGCTGCTGTCGACTTCCAGTTCTCCAAGGGCGCTGTGTACTGGACAGATGTAAGCGAGGAGGCCATCAAACAGACCTACCTGAACCAGACTGGAGCTGCTGCACAGAGCATCGTCATCTCTGGCCTCGTGTCACCTGATGGCCTGGCCTGTGACTGGGTCGGCAAGAAGCTGTACTGGACAGACTCAGAGACCAACCGCATCGAAGTGGCCAACCTCAATGGAACATCCCGCAAGGTTCTCTTCTGGCAGGACCTGGACCAGCCAAGGGCCATTGCCCTGGATCCTGCACATGGGTAAACTTCTGTTCTCTAGGTCCTGTGGGTGGCTGTGGGGATGGGGTTTCTTCTGTGCCCTGGGGAGCAACCCCTTGATAGGAATCAGCTCCCTTCCAGATCCTGGACTCTAAAACATGCCATGTTTAGACAGGTATGGTAGCTCACACTGTAATCATAGCATTCTGGAGGCTGAGGTAGGAGGGTTGCCACAGTTTCAGGCTAACCTGGGCTATAACGACTGTCGTAAAAAACACACAGGAGCTGGGAGATGGCTCTGTTAGTAAAATACTTGCCTTGTAACCATGAGGACCCAACTTCAATCCCTAGAAAAAGTTAGGGGTGATGGCACATGTTTAGAATCCCAGCATTGTAGAGTCAGAGACATGTGGCTCCTTGAGGCTTGTTGGCCACCTACATAGTCTAATTGTCAAGCTCCAGGTCCCAGCGAGAGGTAATGTGTCTTCCTTCCTTCCTTCCTTCCTTCCTTCCTTCCTTCCTTCCTTCCTTCCTTCTGTTTTTCAAGACCAGATTTCTTTCTTTGTATAGTCCTGGCTGTCCTGGAACTTGCTCTGCAGACCAGGCTGTCCTTGGACTCAGAGATCTACCTGCCTCTGCCTCCCGAGTGCTGGGATTAAAGGCATGTGCCGCTGCCCAGTGTTAGTTTGGATTTCTATTGCTGTGGTAAAACACCATGGCTAAAAGTAACTTGGGAATGGAACAGTATACTTGATCTACAGCTCTCAGGTCACACCCCATCACCGAGTAAAGTTAGGGCAGGAACCTGGAGTCAGGAACTGAAGCAGACAGGGGGGTCTCTGCTTACTGGCTTGCTCTATAACGGTTGTTTAGCTTGCTTCCTTATAGCACCCAGGACCGTCTGCCTAGGAGTGGCACTGCCCACAGTGAATTGGCCCTACCAAATCAATTAGAAATCAAGGAAATAAATGTCTTGCAGCCTACAGGCCAATTGGGGGCATTTTTCTCAACTGAGGTTCTCTTTTCTGAAATGACTGTAGCTGTGTCAAGTTGAAATAAAGATAACCAGCACGCCTATCTCAAAAATGAGATATAGAAAAAGGGCTGGAAGCCGGGGTTGGTGGCGCTCGCCTTTAATCCCAGCACTCGGGAGGCAGAGGTAGGCGGATCTCTGTGAATTTGAGGCCAGCCTGGTCTCCAGAGTGAGTGCCAGGATAGGCTCCAAAGCTACACAGAGAAACCCTGTCTCAAAAAACCAAAAAAAAGAAAAAGGGCTGGAGACATAGCTTGGTTGTAAAGAGCACATGTCTGACATGTGTAAGGCAAAGGCTTAGATTCTATCCCCAGTATGGAGAAAAGATACCAGGGGCCTTCCTGAGTTTCACAGCTACAATCAGAAGCCTTGAACACTACCCTGTTCCCAGAACCTGCCTTACTCCCCAGGGACACTCATTCCTCCCAGAAAAACTGCCTGTATCATTTTGTCCTCCACCCCATCAGTACTTCAAAAAGGAAGGAACTGGGGCAATGGAGAAACACACAGCTTGAGAATTGGCCATGGTAATGCACGTGGTAGGGTATTCTGTCCCAGGAGGAGCGTGAAAGTAGGGGAAAGAGAGAGACTAGAGCACAGGGGGTCCTGTTGAGGAATGGGGTGCTAGCCTGAGCCTGTTCTGTCAGACTCTCACATAGAACAATTCCTCTTAGCCACAGAGACTTCTTGGGAAGACTGTTGAGAACTGAAGTTCCTGGCCTTGAACTTGTAATCTTCCTGTCTTTGCTTCTTGACCAGCTAGGATTATAGGTCTTTGTCACCAGCCATGGCTTCTGAATGACTTGAAGTGTGTAAAGGCAGCAGCCATTTGGTATTTGTAGGAGAGGGAATGACCAGTGCAAAGGCCCCGGGGTAGAGAAGACTAGAGCTATGAAAGGGGATAACTCAAGCTCATGAGGCTTTCTTGGCTTTGGGTTGTGCCTGGGTCTCTCATAGCAGTTCTAGATGGTAGTGGAGGGCAGGATCTTGGCCCAGCCACATGGTGGGTTGGGGTTAGAAAGTGTCTAGGGTTGGGTTCTATTCTGAAGGAAGGAGCAGCTGGCAAGGGTGACATGGCACTGTGTCCCCATCTATACAGAGGTGTGGTGTCACCTTGTCATGCCACACGAGAACAGCCCTGAGTGGGTGAATGCTGCTGTTGTAACACACATGCCCTTCCTCCACCACATAAAAGATTCTGCATATATGCAGTTTTCTTATCTCTTCTTGCATGGGTATGGAACTGGAATTACAGAGGGTTGTGAACTACTGTGTGGGTGCTGGAAATTGAACCTGGGCCCTCTATAGAATAGTAGCAAGTGTCATAGCCACTGAACCATCTCTCCAGCTCCTTATCCGTTTACCATGATCATTGAGGGTTATCTGACTGCGCTGGGGAATGCATTGGGTGGTAGTTCATGCTTGTTTAGAGACACTAGGTAGGACTGGAGAGATGGCTCAGAGGTTAAGAGCACTGGCTGCTCTTCCAGAGGTTCTGAGTTCAATTCCCAGTAACCATATGGTGGCTCATAACCATCTATAATGAGATCTGGTGCCCTCTTCTGGCCTGCAGGCATACATGCTGGTCCCTGGATCAGCTTGGGGTTGGCCTACATGAATGATGTCTCACCTCAAAAGAAATGGAGGACAAAATATGTGGGGACTAGCCTGACACCAGAGGGAATATGCATAGAGGAGAAGGCTTGTGAGCCCTGGAGCCTGGATGTATACCAAGGAGTGTCTTAGAGCTTCATCTTACAAGGACCATGGGCAGGGAGTGGGCTTCTATAGGACACTCTGATGCTGCCCCTTCTCTCTGCAGAGGGATGGACAGAACAAAGTGTCTGCCACTTTTGTGTGCTGTGTCTCCCCCATGGACTTCCAGGATGGGAACTTGTGTCCTCAAAGTTGATGTGCCATGGGCTCTGCTGTGCCATCCATGTCCACATCCTCTGGTTACATTCTCTGGGCACTGTCTGGGTTGGGTCTTATCATCTTGGATGCTGGTATATGAGTGGAATGTCTTATCAATATAAGACATGGGCCTCTCACTGGGAGCTTCTCAACATGGCTCAAAAGAGCCTCCTCTTCTCAGACCCTCCTGGGAGTCATTGCTGTTTCTTTTGTGCATATCCACTGTGGCTTATTTTGGTTTTGAGGTGGGACCAGTCTCATATATCCCAGGCAGGATCCAAACTCAGTGTAATGCAGGATGGCTTTGAACCAGTGATCCTCTGCTTTAAGTCTCTTTGGTTCTAGGGATAGTAGGATGCGCACTGCTACACTGGGCTCAATGAGAAATATTTCTAATAAGGAGGGGAAGGTCTTCATAGCATATTCTTAACTGAGAGCAAATTGGAAGTATATAGAGCTGTGGGCAACACAGTGGCATTTTGGCCCATGATGTCCAGTGCAGATTATATGATCTGTGACATTGTAGTTATCTTAGTCTGTTCTTTTTCTTAGGTCTGGGGATGAAGCCCAGGGCTTTGTGCATGCTAGGCAGGAGCTTTATCACTAAGCTACAACTCTGTCCTTGGATGATAATATATGTGTGTGTGTGTGTGTGTGGGGTTGTTCATGTGTCATTGAGCATATGTGGAGGTCAGAGGACAACTTTCATGAATCAGTTTTCTCTTTCCACTTGTAGAGGCAGGGTCTCTCTTTGCTATTTCTGTTGTGCTACATGGTACTAGATTGCTGGCCTGTGAGTTTCCAGGCGATTCTCCTGCCTTAGGAGTTCCGGAACTACAGATGCCTGGCCCCACACCTGCTTTTTTTTTTTTTCCCCCTAAGCTCTGGGGATTTACTTAGTACTTCAGACTTGTGTGTGTACAGAAAGTACCTTGTGTGTATGTGTGAACATGTATATATATGTGTGTATATATATATATATATGTGTGTGGGTGTTTTATTTTTCTTATGTTTATTAGTGTTTTACCTGTGGGTTTTTGTTTGTTTTTTTGAGACAGGATTTCTCTGTGGCTTTTAGAGGCTGTCCTGAAACTAACTCTTGTAGACCAGGCTGGCCTCAAACTCACTGAGATCTGCCTGCCTCTGCCTCCCCAGTGCTGGGATTAAAGGTGTGCGCCACCACCGCCCAGCTTTGCCTGTGTTTCTTTAAGCCTGCCATGTGTGTAGTGCCCACTGAGTTCAGAAGAAGGTGTTAGATACCCTGGAACTGGAGTTCCAGAAGGCTGTGTACCTCCACATGGGTTCTGGGGACTGAACCTGCAAGAGTAGCCAGTGCTCTTAACTGCTGCTGAACCATCTGTCTAGCTCTTACTACTACTACTACTACTACTACTACTACTACTACTACTACTACTCACACACACACACACACACACACTTTTTGAGACAGGGTTTCTCTGCATAGCCCAGCTGTCCTGGAACTCGGTCTGTAGACCAGGCTGGCTTTGAACTCAGAGAGATCTGCCTACCTCTATCTCCTGAGTTCTGGGATTAAAGGCGTATGTTACCACCATCTGACCCATTTTATATTCTTTTTTTAATTAATTTACTTATTATGAATACAACATTCTGCCTCCATGAATGCCTGCAGACCAGAAGAGAGCACCAGATCTCATAATGGATGGTTGTGAGCCACCATGTGGTTGCTGGGAATTGAACTCAGGACCTCTGGAAGATTAGCCGGTGCTTTTAGCCTCTGAGCCATCTCTCCTGCATCCTCGTTTTATATTCTTAAGAACATGTTTCTCAGGGCTCAAGACATGGCTCAGCGCTTCTCTTCTTGAGGGCTTCAGTTGGTTTTTAGCACCCACTTTGCGAAGTTTACAGTTAGCTATAACTCAGACCTTCTTCTGGATCCCACAGATACCTGTACTCACCCCTTCCCCACAGATACACACACACACACACACACACACACACACACACACACACACACACACCTGAAAATAAAATAAATAAATATTAAAAAAAAACAAAACCCTGGGCATGGTGGTACATGCTTGTAATCCTAGCTTTTGGGAGGTGGAGGGAGCAGTGGAATCAGGAGTTTTGAGGTCGGCCTTATAGACAAAAGATGGAAGAGGTGGTGTGGTGTGGTGATGGACGAAAGGAGTGGTGTTCTGTGGTGGTGACAGAGGAGATTGTGTGTGTGGAGGTGATGGAGGAGGAGGTGGTGATGTGCTCCTGTTTCAAGCATTTCAAATATGAAATCCCTTAACCTAAAATCCCTCAAACCCTAATCTCTGGTTATTTCTCATAGGTGTGGAGGATGAGCTTTTCAGGCTTGTTAGAGATTGGGACCAACACTCAGGTCTGTTTTTGCCTCTCTTTTCATCCTCTCCTCATTAGGTACATGTACTGGACTGACTGGGGGGAAGCACCCCGGATCGAGCGGGCAGGGATGGATGGCAGTACCCGGAAGATCATTGTAGACTCTGACATTTACTGGCCTAATGGACTAACCATTGACCTGGAGGAGCAAAAGCTGTATTGGGCAGATGCCAAGCTCAGCTTCATCCACCGTGCCAACCTGGATGGTTCCTTTCGGTGAGTGCCTGGTGGCCAAGATGCCCTCCCCCATTATACCCTGTTGCCCAAGGGAACTGAGACTCCTTAACTCAGTCCATAGGCTCTTACCAAGGATTGCTTGATGGCTTTGGGAATAGAGCACAGGTGCCGCACCTGATGTCACAGCTAATTTGACTCTTTCTATAGCAACATGTTGAAAATTTCCTTCCAAACTGAATAGAAAGGAATATATGTAGTACTCCGAGATGTCTGGTGTGCAAGCAAGTTTGATCCCAGGAACCCACATGATGGAGTAGAGAAAGTTGTCCTCTGACCTCCAGGCAGGTTCTGTGGCATTCATATATCTATCTATACACGCACCACATACCCCATAATTAAAAAAAAAAAAATAGTGTTCACCTGACCCCTATATGTGCCTAGGCTGTGTTATGAAACAAGTGAGAAACCCAATGTTCAGGAACTGGAGCAGTGGCTCAGTAGTTACCAGTATTCACTGCTCTTGCAGAGGACCTGAGTTCACTTCCCAACACCCATACTGAGAGGCTTATCTAGCGCGCCCATATGGCCCTCTTGGGCAACTGCACTCAGATGCACATACCTGCCTGTACACAGATAGACATACAAGTAAATAGAAATCAAATCAACAGGCTGTCCTGGAACTAGCTCTTGTAGGCCAGGCTGGCCTTGAACTCACAGAGATCCTCCTGCCTCTGCCTCCTGAGTGCTGGGATTAAAGGTATGCACCACCAATGCCCGGCTTTGAAATAAAATCTTAAAAACAAATAAAAAAAAAAATTCAGTGTTCAGACTGTTTTGGAGTTTAGAGTTGCAGGTCAGGGCGGGGCCTGGGTGTTGTGGCAACATTCACTGATCCTCTGCCCTGCCTCTGCTGTGAACTTCAGGGCAGCAGAGAGCTGTGTACACAGTCGGTGCTTGACAAATGGAGGGGCAGGTGGATGAATAAGAAGGCCAGTTTTCCTGCTTGGTGATGCCTGTTAGAGCTTTCTGGCCTCCTCCATGTAGACCCCTTGAGACTCAACTGTGACCTTAGTGTGAGGTGACAGGGTAGTTTATTCCATGACCGAATATTACTTGCTGAGTTGACATTAGGTCTTGAGCTTCTCATGGGAGGGTTAATCTGGTCTTTGAATGGGAGGAGCTCCTGGACTAGGGGCATAGGAGCTGGCACTAAGAGTTCATCAAGGCTTGAGTGAGATTGGGAAGGTCAGTGTGCCATCCATGTTGGAATGCTGTGAAGCCTTGTGTCCTGTCATCGTTGGGGTGGGGGTGGGGAAACACACAGGTTTGCCACGCCAGGGCCTGGACTGAGATTTGGAAATGAGGCCAGCCTTGGGGACACTGGACTGTGTGATCTCAGCATGACCAAGACTGTCCTCGAGTCTGGAAAACTGCTGGCCCAGTAGCCTTGGGCAAGGGATCATGACAAAAGAGTGGCGGTTAATATAATGGTGATCATGGTAATGCTTCCATAGCAAGAGTCATGCCTGGGGACATTTACCAGTTCATTTAATGTTCACAGCAACCCTGTACCACCTCCTATATGATGATAGACAGGGGTTCGCAAGGCCACACAGCTGGCCAGAGCCTCCTGCAGTGGGGATGGTCGTTAAGCAATCAAAAGTTGCTGGCTGTGTTCAGGTCCACTCCTGTCACCAGTGTTCATAATCTCTTTAAACACGATATCCACTGTGGGACATTTTCTGAGCACAAAGCACTGAGATGTTTCCCTGATGTTGATGTGGCTCCAGGACAGCACATCTGGCTGAATTAGCATGAAGCGGTTTGCGCATCAGGCCTGGGGACCCAGGCTTTTCACAAGCTGTTTGTCTCCAGGTGTGATGCATGCTTCTATCTTCTGTAGGGGACACTTTGTCCCTTTGTCCAGGCACCTTTATGTTTTTGTCACAGGTATGGGAGGCTGGCTGGAGTGCCCCAAGTAGGGTGTGCTCACAGCCTTTTCCTTTGATTGACAAATCAGGGTAAAGTCTATTGTGGCTCAAGGGCCTCCAGGATGGGGCAGAATTGGTCTATGAGGTCTTTTCCTGACAACTGTACCCTTTTTCTATCTGCTGCAGGCAGAAGGTGGTGGAGGGCAGCCTCACTCACCCCTTTGCCCTGACACTCTCAGGGGATACACTCTACTGGACGGACTGGCAGACTCGCTCTATCCATGCCTGCAATAAGTGGACAGGGGAGAAGAGGAAGGAGATCCTCAGTGCCCTCTATTCACCCATGGACATTCAGGTGCTGAGCCAGGAGCGGCAGCCTCCCTGTAAGTGTGAGCAGGCATTGGGGGTTGGGGTTGGTGGGTCAGGGGACAAGCAGGAGGTACAGGTGAGGCAGGACAGGGCAGGGCTTGCAGTGCAGACAGATCACTGGTACAGGTAGGATAGGATGTAGACAGGAGGGGCCCAACCTCCAAACCAGATCATTGGCAAGAATAGAGTCAAGCAGTGGGGCATAGTGAGGCTGAGTGGGTCCAGGCAATGCAGTAGGGAGCAGGGGAACATGGGTAAGCAGAGACTTCCACCTGATCAGACCAGACTAGAAGCACCTTTCCTGCAGAAGCACCTGTGTAGGGGTCCACCCCTCCAGAGACGGGCATGGTGGCCTAGAATAAGGAGTTTGTGTGTGTGTTTGTGTGTTTATGTGTTCTCGTGCGCATGCATGTATGGCGCTTCTGCTTGTGGCAGTCCAGGCAGGGTGGTGTGGTGGACAGGGTCCCTCTAGAGCTGTTTTGGGCTTTCTTTCTTTTTTTGATTTATTTATTTATTTATCATGTATACAGTGCGTGCCAGAAAAGGGCACCAGATCACGTTACAGATGGTTGTGAGCCACCATGTGGTTGCTGGGAATTGAACTCAGAACCTCTGGAAGAATAGTCAGTGCTCTTAACCCCTGAGCCATCTCTCCAGCCCCTGTTTTGGTCTTTCTAGATCAGGTGGTGTCATTGTTAAGAACCAGTGGTGTCCTAGCTTGGAGTTGGTGTCAGCCCGGAGTCCTAGATGGTAGAATCTTAGCAGAAGTCACTGATGGTGATGCTAAGCTCCCGGTACAGATTATGGGGCTGGGGCTGGGTGGGAGATGAGAAGGGCCTGTTCTAAGCTTACCCAGTTATATAGGGAACAGGGATTGGTATTTCTGACTCCACTTTATAGAAGCTTGAATTTAGAGCTTAGAACTCAAGCCAGAAAAGAAAAGTTAGTGTAGGATAAGGGGGAAGGTGGTCTTTTTAATCTGAGCAAGAGTATCCTGGTTCTTGAGCCCTTCTACCCTTTCGGCAGCCCACATTTAACTCCCAGTGTTGGGAGGGCAAAGGTCAATTGCAGGAGACCCATTTGTAGTTGACAGTGTTTCCGTGCTGCTGAGTCCCACTCAGATAGAAGGAGGATCCAGAAACCTTTGTTAGAGTCAGCCGTATATTGGTCATAGAAGGGCCTGAGTGTGGTCACTCAGTGTGGATGGAGCCTGCAGAGTCCAGGCAGATCAGAGAGACAAGGTGGCTCTTGTGCTCTGGAGTCCACGGACCTAGGGTTCCCAGGGATCGCCACATAAGCAGGTCCTGAGGACTTCTTTGGAAGCATGGTGGGTGAAAGTTTGTCTTCTTGTTGGAGGAGCTAAAGGTGGGGAAAATGTTCCCCCCAGGGGCACAGCTGGTCTGGGTGGTTTCTGAGACACTACAGAACAGCTGGTGAAGATGAAGACCCTGTATGGTGGGTGGTCATCGGTGAGGTAGGACTAGGATAGCCTGTGGGGAAGGGTCCTGATGTCCTGAGAGGGTAGCATGGTGGTGGGCCCGAGGAACACCTCCTGCAAGACGTATGAGGAAGTGGTGGGAAATGAATGGCAGGGCTGTGGTGGGAATCCCATATCTTGCACTGCAACTTTCTTTTATTCTGTCTTTTTCCTACCAGTCCACACTCGATGTGAGGAGGACAATGGTGGATGCTCCCACCTGTGCCTGCTGTCCCCGAGGGAACCTTTCTACTCGTGTGCCTGCCCTACTGGTGTGCAGTTGCAAGACAATGGCAAGACGTGTAAGGCAGGTGAGGTAGAACCCTGGTACTAGCAGGGACAGATGGGGTGGCTGCTACTAGATTGGATGTCCCCAGAGTAAATGTGGTGCCCTCTTCATAAGGGTCTGCTTGTTTTATTGAAGACTCTGAGTGTTGATACCGCTACAGCTGGGGTTCATGGTCAGCTCTGGGCTGTGTTTGATCCATGGGCTAGCTCTTTGAGAGTCTTAGGGGGGGGTCTCATAAAAAAACCCAATGTTCTAACTTCTTACTAATGCCCTCAAAGTGCTGAGCATGTCAATGTATGGTCACATCCTAAAGTTTGCTGTCCTGAGTTTTTAACCAAACCTGTTAACTGTAAAAATCTAAAGATGGCAGCATTAGTTGCTGCTGTTGAGGGTGTGAGCCTGCCGTATGGTGCCTGTTTTCCTCTTCAGTACCACTTCTGTCCACTGAGAGCATACTCCCAGGCATTGCAAGTGCAGACATATGATTTGGTTTGGCTTTCCTGCATCTTTGTTGTTTATTTTTCTTCTTGTGGCTCATTCCCCTGAATCGTCCCTCTCCATTAATATCTCTGTGCATATGTGGGTCCCAGACAGCATTATTGGATGTTTCCTTTCTGACTCCGAGAGCCAGTTTTTCTCTTTGTATAAATACATTTTTTCTTTTTGAGATTATAACTAATTACATCCTTTCCTCCATCCCTTTCCTCCCTCCAAGCCCTTCCATATACTACTCCTTTCTCTTTCAAATTTGTGTTTTATTTTCCATTAATTGTTGTTAAATGCATATACGTGTGCGTGTGTATGTATGTACATGTGTATACACATATATACATGTACATACATACATTCTTAAATATAACTTCCTCAGCCTGTATAATGTTACTTTATACAGTAAAGTGTGAACTATAAACTTAGGCTGACCATTTTGTGTGGGATAATCAGTGATGCAGTCTTCCCTGGGAAGGATGACTGACGTCTGCCCTTGGTGTTCCCTCAGTTGTAGTTATTTGTGTACGGTTGAGGACTCAGGAAAGTTTCCCTGCCCACTTTGGCATGTCTATAGTTGTTGTTTGTCCTTTTTTAAGACAGGGTCTCATTATGTAGCCCTGGCTGTCCTAGAACTCGCTACATAAACTAGGCTGGCCTCAAATTCATGGAAACCTGCCTGTCTCTGTTGGGATTAAAGGTGTGTGCCACCATATCCACTTTTTCCCCTCTGATTTACACACCTGCTACCTTTTGGCTAAGGCCTCACTTTTCAACATTTGCTGCTTTAGGGCTCCTAGTGTCACTATTCTACCCTGAGCAGCATTCTCATCTCAAGGAAATGTATTTCCTGCTATGGTGCCTCAGGTTGCCCCTTTTGGTACCCATGTACTCAGAGGATGCTGCCAGACCTTGGGAATGACTCAGGGATCAGAGGATAATTCTCTGGGTTGTTTCTGGGCTTTGTCCCATAAGGAGGGGAGGAAAGCAGCTTTCCTGAGGCTGGTCCTCCCTTTTTTCTTCTCAGACAGATCCTGCTTCCTGCACCATTGTCCCACTCCCACAGGAAAAGGCAGGGCAGGTGGCTAACTGCCACCACACCTGGTCCAAGCAGCTTCCTAGAAGCTGTCTCCTGGTGTCCCTGGGTGTGGGTGTAGAGATGTCCTTGATCAACCCTACCTGCTATTCAGGCTTGGGGTGTGACTGTGGGAGCCAGGTTACTCAGTGACTCAGATGTCCAGAGGTCATATTTGCCACTTTCCTAAGAATTCTGTCTCCACTCCTAGAAAGACTCTGTTGGAGAATGCCAAGCACAAAGGAAAAAAAGCATTTTGTGTCACTCAGAGACCTACTCGGGTGTGAGTGTGTGACAGGCTGAGGGCATCCCTGTAGTCGGTGTGGACTTTTGTATGTTAAATCCAGATTTTTCACTTTGGTTGCAAATGCTCTGACTAGGGTGGTTTGTTAAAAGGAGGGAGAGGATGTTGGGTGGTGGCCTACACTTGGGAGGTGGAGACAGGTGGATCTCACAGGTGGATTTCTGTGAGTTCCAGGACAGCCAGGGCTACACAGAGAACCAGTCTTGGGTGGGGGGTGTGGGTGGCAGAGGGAGGGAGATGTTTCCAGATGAGATAAAAGGTGCATGTCCTAGTTAGGTTTCTATTGCTGTGATAAACACCACGTTCAAAAACAACTTAGGGAGGAAAGGTTCATTTGTCTTACAGGTCACAGTGTCACAGTCCATCCTGAAGTGAAGGAAATCAGGGCGGGAACTTAAGGCAGGAACTGAAGCAGAGGTTCTGGAGGAGTCCCTCTTACAGCTTGCTTCTCATGCTTGCTTAGCCTGATTTCTTATGTAACAGATGACCACCTGCCTAGGGATGGAACCACCCACACCAGTCATTAATCAAGAAAATACCCCATAGAACACCTCAGATGGAAGCATGTTTCTTTTACATTTAAAATCTTATGCTGGGTGGTTGTGGTGCGTGCATTTGATCCCAGCAGTTGGGACACAGAGGCAGGCGGATCTCTATGAGTTCAAGGCCAGCCTGGTCTACACAGTGAGTTCTAGAACAGCCAGAGCTACACAGAGAAACCCTGTCTCAAAAAATCAAATCAAGCCAAAATCTTATTTATGTTTTGAGAATTTCATGTAATATATTTTGATAGTATACTTTTTCATTCCCCAGTTCCTCCTAGGTCCTCCCTACCTCCCTACCCAACTGCATAATCTTTCTCTGTCTTTAAAAAATAAGCCAAAAACACACCAAAAAACAAAAAGGCATGCACAAACTGTGGAGTCCAATTTGTGTTGGATAACTACTCCTGAGCATGAGGCCGCCCCAGAGTCTGGTTGTGTCCATTGAAGACTTTCACTCTCCCAGAAGCTATCAGTTGCAAAGAACTTCTTAACTAGGGGTTGGACTTCATGTCCCTTCCTTCTCTGCTTGGGGATTTTGTCTGACTTGAACCTGTGTGTTCTATCAGTCTCTGAGTTCATGTGTGCATCTAACCTGCTGTGTCTGGAAAACACTGTTTCCATCACTCCTGGCTCTTGAAGTCTTTCTGCCCTCTCTTCCGCATAGATACCCTGAGCTTTGAGAGGAGGGGTGTGGGAACAATATTCAATTTAGGGTTGAGTGCTCCAATGTTGGAGGCATTTTTTTCAATTGAGGTTTCCTTCTCCCTTCGTAACCCTACTTTTTGTGTCAACTTGACAAAAAACTAAGGAATAGAGCGTGTGCCCCAGAGTTCTGTATGAGAATGGCATTGAGGGTCCACTGTCTTCTCTAAGTAATTCCCAGCCTTCGGGGCTTCCTCTCTGTCATCCTGGATCCCTTGGGCAGTTCCTAGTCTGCTAAGGTGGGAAAGAATCAAGAATAGAGAATTAGGCTGGAGGTGTAGTTCAATGACAGACTGTTTGCCAAGTATACATGAAGTCACCCAACAAATGAGGTATGTTGGTGGTGTTACACATAATACTAGCACTCAGGAGGTAGAGGCAGGGGATAAAATATTCAGGGTCATTCTTGGCTACATAGCAAATTGAAGGTTACTCTCAACTGTCTGAGATCCCATCCAAAAAAGGAAAACCAACAACAGAATTAAGGGCTTGTTCCCAAGATGTAGTCTACAAATTTAAGGTGCTTCTAAAATATTTTTTCATGTGTCATGTTTTAGAGGGATCTAGAAGTGAGGGAGAATGGGTTCTGTCCTCGAGGAGCCTAGGGTTCTGAGAGGCAAGCTTTAGTTGGGTTGGGTCTTAGACCACAAAGGATGACAAGCTGTATCTTGTCATCTATGTACTGTGTCTGTGTTCCTTGCAAGCTGTGAGCATAGCTTTGCATGCTGCAGGGTGTGGTACACCCTGCTGCTGTGTAGAGTACAGATTTTTGCCTGTTTCGATGCCCTGTATACTGATTGCAAAAGCAGTTAGAAGATATGACTGGTTATGGGAAGGCAAAGCAAAGAGACCACTAAATCCTGTCATCTCATGTTTGCTGGTGTGGTCTCAGTCATGGTGGTCAGAGGCTTCCTGCAGGTGTCACACCAGTGGGGAGGATAGAGGTGGCTAGAAGGGCACTGTGGTGCCTCTGGGTTTCTACTAGCTCCGAGGGAATCATCAAAGGTCTCAGGTGGCGAAGGGAACTCAGAGCTGGGAGTGGCCAGGTACCTTTGTGGCTGTGGCATCTGTGAAATCTCAAGTGTTTTCCATTTGAGGCCTCTGGGAAATCTGGATGAATAGCTAGCCCTACCCAAAGGATAGATCTATAGGGCAACAGGAAAGGCTGTGCTGGGGAGATGTCCTTGCCTTCCGAAAGGGAACATTGGAAGTGATTTGCATGTAGAACACAGCAACTCAGGGTAGACGGAACCTAGTGCAAATTCTTCCTGGTGGTGAGGAAACTCTCTGGCTAACTTAGAGTACCTAAATTTCAGCCTCTTATAGCCATCATATTAGACTTTAGCCCATTCCCTGGCTGTTTTCTTTGACACAGATTCAGCCTGCCTGTGCTTCAGCTTCTTATCTGCAGAAAGGGAACAGCGGCAGCACTTTTAGAGCGGTTGAGGAGCGGGCTGTTCAAGGCAGGTAGGAACTGGACTTGAATTTGAACCTCAACTGGGAACCAGGCAGGCACTCTGATTTGAAACCAAGAGAACAACCCTTCTCAGAATGTCTGGAATCAAGTAGATGCCATGGTTAGGTTGTGACAGGGCTGTAGAGATCTCAGTGAGTAGACAGGCAGGCTGCTGACCTGGTACAGAAGTGGGTGTCTATCCGGGGCATTCTGAATATGTATGGCTCCCATTCTATGGATTCAAGGCCAGTGTTCATCTAGGGAGGGCATAGGGGCCTGACTGTCACTGGATTCTTGTGGCACTATGTTTCCTAGCCAGCTACTGGCCTGATGGAGAGGGATGGAGTGTGGCTGAGGCTGCTCCTCTAGGTGGACTCATTGTAGATGGGAGGCACTGCCATAGCTCCTTGCTGCTCCCAGTTTGTTGTCTGAGCCCAAGTTTGAGTGCTGGATT